AAAGGTCAAATATTAAGAAAAAGGGGGAGAAAGAAGATTCGAGAAATCAGAAACTGATCAAATTAACCTTAATAACCAGAAAGATAATGAAGCATATCATCCATGTTGTATGGTCTGAAGTCCACCTACCTGTTAACTGAAAACATTATAAGCACTAGTTTTATCAGATGTCAGGAACTGCAGAACTTCCCACCAAGTAGCATGTGAAACTCTGCAGATCAGGTCCCACAACACAGTGATTCTCGCCAAACTGGCGATCATATCATTTTCAGCACAAAGGGGAGGCAATTTCCTGCAATGCCACCTTCCAAAATTTCCTGAATTCCAATAAATTTTATTTTGATGCCTATGTGGAATTCAGGGCAGGATCATGGCCCAAAGATATCATAAACTGTATAGGTCTTCCAGCTGATGGAGTCCCATCTACAAACTTGTAGCAAAACGAAGACAATTCAGAGTGGGCCAGATCCTGAAGATCCTTCACTTCGTGGGCGTGTCTACACAAGACATTTACTGTGTAAATGTCTGCTTGTAAATTAGCTGCTTAGTAAATGTCTCAGCATCTACATGTGCACCCCTATTAGGCTGGAGTAAATTAATTTACTCCACAGCAGGAGAGTACTTTATTTATAAATACTCTCTTGCTGTGGAGTAAAAAACTCTGCAGTAGCACATGTGTAGACCCTGCCCGACTGGCTGAGGCTTGTCATATTGAATGAAATAGTTTGAATGTTTGTAAAGGTTGCCCATTAGCCAGTTTCAGGAAGAAGATAAGATTTATCTCCTTATCTAGCTCATTGTTTTTGGGACTACGTGCAAAAGGTCCTGACTTTGCTTCTGAATTTTATCTTTAGAAGTCTTTTACAAAGAGAGCAAATATCCTGAGTTCCAAGAGATCAAACCCTAGGGCCTTTTAACAAGATTGGTAAGAAAAGGGCATTTGCAGTGATATGAAAGTTTCCCAAAGGTAATTTCAAAAGAATCTGTTGAGTAAGATCCGAGCCCAAATTTGGGAGTAGTGACAGGTTGAGTAGGAGGAGCCCATAGACGGCAGCTCGCTCAATAAAAACTGTAACTTACTGTCCCAATTTGGAGGTGACTTCACTTGTAGAACAACGAAGGAAGAATCACAAGTGTAGGCCGGAGCAGACTGATCACCTGAACCACCCTCTCCGTGAACACGAATTTCTTAGTTCACGCTGAAGCTGCAGAGC